AGTTGTGTGAACTTTTTCCTTGGTGTACTACTTGTCAGGGTATTTTACCAGCTCATGATATACCATCCTCGAGTATGTATGAGAATGCTGAATAACAAGAGAGGAGTAAGGGCAAGAGAATAGACCCTTCGCAGGATCCGGTCACATGGTACAAAATAACACATGATGGGACACAAGCTGCACAGTGGGACTTCCTAAACAAAGGCAGCTCAAGGTGGACTGGTACGAGTTGCTTTGTTTTGGAAGTCCCACTGTGCGACTTGCGTCTCAGCACGTGTGATTTTGTACTATGTGACCAGATCCTGTAAAGGGCCTATTAACGGATTCGGCTAGTGTGTTTACATCCTTGTTGTCACTCAATTCAGATCATGTGATGATTCATTTGGGAGGTTACAATTAATCTGTTTGTACATACTCCCATGTAATCAGGTGAGTTTAGCAAATTGCACAACTGTAACCTCTCAAATGAATCATCGAGTGGTATGAATTGTGTGGTGACAAGGCTGTAAACACGTTAGCCGAATCCGTCTATTTCCCATTTACCCTAGGGAAATCCCTCTCGGTTTTGAAAATCCCAGGTGGGTTTAGCTCGCGCTCACGATCCTGTGACGAGGATTTTTCACACGCAGACTACCCTAGATTGTCATCCTCCAAGAATACACCCACGCAACGCTCGTGGTAACATTATCCACTGGAGTGCTGAGTTCCTTGGGTACCTGGGCACCGGGATTACTTCGGTAATAAGGCCTATGAAGAGGATTAACTAAGTTACTCTTTATCTTCTTTTATGAATAACAAAGTACGAGACCTTCAACTTGGATTTGTTATAAACAGCTCATCTGGCAGGCAAAATAACCTTTCGATTTTTACATCTCTAGTGCATGAAATGAGTGACAGGCGATGTAGCGGTGTGCCGCCAATTCAAAGAACTATCAATCGGTAACATACTAACAAATATTGACAATTATTGAAGCTGTAGAGCGCATGAATAGAAAAAACTCGAGGAACAAGAGAGCACTACTTTATATTTCTTATGTCAAAGTTAACGTGATAACTGTGTATAGTTTCTGCTGACTCAATAAATGTCAATGAATGTTCAAATAGAAAATCTTATTAATTAATTCAGTTTACAAAGTCTTCCAATTTATCCGATGTCTCTTGATAGTTTACAGTTTTGGACAAGGACTTAGAAAAGAAACTTTCTATGAAGGCTGACATGGTATCCTCTAGAGCAACAAATGGTTCCTTTTGAGTTGCTTTACTATCATGTTGCTTCTGTTCTTCACACTCTTCAGAGCCAGTTAAATCCACAGTTTCTGTACGCCTGTCTACCCTAGAGGAAATAACTGGCAGAGAGTGAGACTTTGAAGTGCGGGCACGACTCTGCCTGATGCTAGCTGATTCGTATCCGCTTTCAGCATCGCCTGAAGACTTGTTTGGTCGTTTCCTCTTAGAGACAGGCAGCCTCTCGTAGTTCCGCCTCGGACGTTTGGATTGAGGTTGTGCGGCATCTTCCATATCGTTTAAGGTGTTGTTAAGAAGACGAACAAAGACGGATTCCAAATGATCCGATCTTGGTTTTGAAAGTAACTCACAAAGCCTTCTCATAGCTGTGATCAAACCTCGTGAGGGGTTTTGAAGACTTTTTACGAGGCCAAAGTGAAAGGGCTGAAATGAATTGCACGCATTTAAGCCAATAGGTGGCTGATATAGGCTATTAGACCAGTAAAGCTGGGGCATGAATGGAGTTGATGGCGCTGGCAAGGGAGCATGCGCATTCGTGGTAAGATCTGGCTCAAAGGGATCCATTTCATCAAGGACATCAAAGACATCATCAAGACTTGGTGCAGCATCCAAGCTCGAGGGTAGAATCTCTGAGTCAATGCTTTCGGAAGATAGCTTTCTTTCATTTACGTCTGACACGCTTGACAAACCAGAGGA